GGCCCCGGCTGCTGTCGGCAGGCAGGCCGCCGGGCTAGATGGGCCCATGGTCTGACCCACTGTGGCCAGTCGTATCTTCTTAGAAGAGTGGTGTACCCATGCCTGGGAGCAGAGATGTGGCCGGGGCAGCCCAGGGCGTGGCCCGGAGAGATGGAGTTTAGTGGGGAGCCTGCGAAATAGATTTCAGGACGATGATCCTGAGTGTGCCCCGACCTGGTGCTGGTGCCAGAAACGGCGGTGGGCCGCGCTGTCTCGGAGCAGAGCCGTAGGCGGCAGCCCCTCGGGGGAGTGACCTGGTGGGGCTGGCTGGGAGGGCTTCAGAGCATGCGGGCCTGTCCCGTTAAGCGTGCGCTCCAGCCTTGGGTCATCCGCTGCCACCTGGAGCCTCCTCCCAGCCTCCCTGAGCTGTCCCAGTTAAAACACAAAGTGCAGTTTGGCAGCTGGTAAATACTGAATGAAATGGAAAGGCCAGGAGGAAAGGCCAGGAGAGATGGCAGCCTGAGTCTGTCCTTCCTCTGCCTCGAGACGCCCCTGGGCCTGACCCCCAGCAAGTCCCCATGGCTCCTCCCCACCTGCCCAGGCACCAGGCAGTGGTGGGGGGTGGATCAGAAGCCAGAGCAATGCAGGGAGGCACCCCGGGAGCTGGGGCTGCAGAGGAGAAGGCTCCTGTGTCCCCCATGATGGGATGTGGGGGGAGCACTGGAGGGCGTGCAGAGATGGCGGGTTCTCCAGCCTAGCGACACAACAGCCCACCCGCTCCACCACCATCTCCCAGCTGGCCCTGCTCCATGCCCCCTAGTGATGCAGCAGCCCACCTGCTCTGCCCCCTGGCAATCCCCCCCATAACTCTCAAGGTGGAGTGGGAAGAGGCAGGGCAGCCCCGCTGGCCATGGCAGCCAAGGCGCCGGTGTCCCTCAGCCCCCAGCTGGGCCGGCCAGGCCGTGCCTGTCAGGCCTGTGGCCTGAAATCCCCCGGAGCTGTGAGAGGAGGCCTAGGCACGGAGCCCCCAGAGACCCAGGAGAGGCCCTGAAGTGTGTCCCCGGGGCCCGGCCACACACGTCCCGGGACAGGGTCCCACCTCCCGCTGGCTCTGGCTCTGCCGGGCGGCTGACATCCTGGCTCCTGCGCCGGGCAGAGTGAGCGGCTGTCTTCTCCCTGGGCCTGGGCCAGCTGGTGCTTTGCTCTGCCCGCCCTTTGCCTGGGATGGGCCCTGCGGAGCTGCCCAGCGAGACCTTGGCAGAGTCACCAGAGGGGGCGGCCAGTTGGGATTGGTCCTGCCTTGGGCAGGGGGCTGGACTTGATGACTCATGAGGCCTCTTCCAGCTCCAGGATTCTACTTGGGGCCTATACCCAGCTCTGCCACTGACTAGTTAGGTGACCCTGGTCATGTCCCTTTCCCTCTTGGGGCCTAGTGTCTCTGCCTGCCCTCCTCTGGCTGGGCAGGGCAGGGACTGGCCCTGGCACTGTCTGGGGCCCGCCTTGGGCAGGGGGCTGGACTTGATGACTCATGAGGCCTCTTCCAGCTCCAGGATTCTACTTGGGGCCTATACCCAGCTCTGCCACTGACTAGTTAGGTGACCCTGGTCATGTCCCTTTCCCTCTTGGGGCCTAGTGTCTCTGCCTGCCCTCCTCTGGCTGGGCAGGGCAGGGACTGGCCCTGGCACTGTCTGGGGCCCGGAGGGGGGACGGTCATCGACAACTAGCCCTAAACAAAGGCAGCAGCCCTCCCC